GGCTTGGGACAGTGGTCACGTGGGCTGTCCCGGGCCGGGGGAGAGGTCAGGCTGCCTGGTCCCCCTCAGTCCCTCCTGGGGACACCGTCCTCTGTGGAAGTAGGGCACCTGCCTCCTTCTCTAGCCCTAAAGGATGGGGCAGAGTGAGACTGAGCTGGAGAGGCACCCGCAGGCGCGCTGCCCGCAGCTGGCTTGGGATGGAGCAGGGCTTCCGCCAGGAGAGGAGAGCACTGGGTAAGGTGGTGTTGGGTGGGTGCACGAGAGTCCAGCTGGCGTATCGCGGGTCCTCTGAAGGTGCCCAGGCGCTTTCTTCAATTTGTCCTCTCTTGACTTTGTCCCACGACTCTGGAGCGACGGACTCCTGGCAGTTTGGGCAGCTCCACGGGCTCAGGGCGGCGCCCAGGACAGAGGGCAGGGCAGGGATGGTGCCTGGGTGAGAGAGGGCGGACTCGCCCCTCCCTCTAGGAACCTATCTCACTCCCAGTGCCTCTGTCTCCCCGAGACAGAGAGGCAAGAGAGGCCAGGAAATGCGCTCTCCCCTTCCGGTGCAGGCTCAGGGACCTGGGGCAGTCGGGGGCGGGTGCCTGGGTCCAGCAGGGCCACCCGTCTCCATGGCTGTCCATCAGCCCAGGAAGCTCCAGAGTAGGTGGGCGGGGGAGCGAACGCTTTTGGCCCACTCACAGCCCTCCCTCCCCCTCAGGGGACAGCAGGGGACAGCAGGGGATGGCTCATGTGGGGTCCACGTGCGCTGTGCTCAGAACCCCGGGGAAGCAGTGCCACGGGAATTCGCATTTTCGCCCCTTGCAGTGTCTTACTCTACAAGCAGCAGTCCTGATGGGATCCTGCCCGTCTTGCACCTGGCAGGGGTGAGGTGAAGGGTGCCCTGTGGGATTGCAGGGGTGAGAGAGACAGCAGAGGCTCCAGCTCCCCAAGCGTCTCCAGATTGCCGGGGCTCGGGGCCGTCGGCCCAGCTCCTCAGGTGCAGATTGAACGGGTGTCCAAACTCAGGACTGGGCACTGGGTTCCAGGCACCTTGACAGCCTTCCCTGCCCCAGCCCTGCCTGGCTGCACCCTCCTGGGAGGTGAGGAGGGTGATGGTGCTCGGTACAAACTTTCTTAGACCTGAGCCGGACCCCCGCGAGGCCTGGGTGCCCCCTCCCACCCTGCACTCTCCCGGTGCCTCCTGTCTCAGCACACAGACCCCGCCGTGCACTGCCTGGCTCCCTCGCACCTGCGTGCTCTAGAAATTAACTAAGGACAAGGTGTGCCCTGGCTTGAGCCTGGGGTTGCCTCACTCCCCTGGGGTCTCCTCTCTCCTCCAACGCTTTAGCCTTGGGCTTTCTAAAATCCGCAGTTTCGGGAACCGGTGTAGCAAATGGCTCCCCAGTGTTCCCTGGGTTTATCAGAGCTCCGTCCTTCTCTCTGGCACTGGTCTCCATTTCACTCGTGGAGAGGGAGGGGCATCTGCGTGTTCTCCTGCGCCCTAGCAGAGCTGGGGTGTTGCAGCTGAGCTGTGCACATGCGGGGTGGGGAATGGCTGGTTTGGGGGGTGGCGGCACGTGACACTGAGGCATAACTGAGACACCGGTGGGCGTGTGCGCCACTATGAGGGACGGCAGGAAGCACGGCTGCCCTTCATGTGCCCCTCACACTGGGTGTCCTGCGGGCCCAGGCCACTGCCGGGGCAGGCTGCTGAGGCTGGCACAGCCGGCCTGCCTCGGGCTCCCGTCCTATGCTTAGCTCTGTGCCGCTGGGTCTGCGTGTCCCCAGCTCGGAAGGATGCCGAGCAGCACCACTGTGTCCTCCGCTATCCACTCCTACCCTCCCCACGTGTGAGGTTGGCTCGAGGCACCACCCTTGTCCTGTGCCTGGCCATGGCCCCTGACCGGCCCTCTCCGCTCACTGGACTTCCCAGCCCTAGACGCAGGAGCAGGGTGAGGGCTGAGGACAGGGCAGCCCCAGCCCCAGGGAGGAGCTGGGTTTTGCCTCTTCTCTGAAACATCATGCGAGATCAGATGTCGATGGCTCCCACCAGGGTGAGGGGATGGACGCACCTGGAGCTGGTGGCTCCTCCAGGTGGCCCCGGGACACCGCGGCCTGGGCTGTGCTGCAGCCTCACGCTTGTGGGCTGACCGATCAGGCTGTCTCCCCTCCCCCTCTTGTTTCCTCACTCCCATTCTTTGCTTTATTTTAGTAGACCTCCCAAATGCACCACCAGCAATGACAGCCCCAGTCATGAACCCTTAGCTTGAGACCACAGCAAAACTCAAACTGGCCTCCCGACAGGTCAGCGGCCAACAGCGTAGGGCCTGGGATTCCAAAAGCACAAGGAGCTCGAGTTCCACCCTCTGAGACAACACCGGCCGAAAAATATCCCCACCACCATGGGGGCCCGGGGACCCAGTCCAGGTGACCAGCTTAGAGGGTGTCCTGGCTGGAGCCCGTGGCTGAGGATGGCTGATCTTTAGATCACCATCTCTGGTTGCCTGGATGCCCCCAAAGAGCTGAGTGACTGGGGCCCAGTTCCCTGTGGACACTGGCACCTCTGCGCTGCCACTCTGCCCCCTCCCCGGTCCTCGGGGCCCATCCTTCCACCTTCTGTTCTCAGGATGTTTTCTGCACACTAATTAGGCCTCCTCTCCTCCACCTTTGAAAGAGGAGCTTTCTCCCCGGCCAGGGGACTCGAAATGGAACCCTCGGTTTTCCTGGCGGCTGCAGGCAATCACTTAACCCCCGTGACCGCCGGGGACAGGAGGCCGGGGCTGGTGCAGACACAGAGCCCCCTTTAATCAGCAGGAAGCTCTGTGCTGTTCTGCGCTGCTTGCTTGGCCGGTGAATTAAACAAATCCATAAAGCATCGATTTTCCACCAGTAGGTGAGGGGTTGGGGGAAGTAGAATTCAAACAGAAAAAAATGTTTTTAAAGAGCCCCAAGATGAACATGCACTCGCCGGGGACAGTCCCACCTGGGCTGCGGCAGACCCTGATCTCACCCCGCTGGGCAGAGGCAGCCACGCCCCGAAGGAGTTAAGAACATTCTCGGGGAAGCGGGCTTCCAGCGCGATTTTGTTTGTGAGCTCTGTGCGGTACCAGCTCCAAATAATAAGGTGGCATGTTAATTACCCCCCCTTCTAATTCACCTTTCTGCCGCACACAGTGGACGGGGAGGCGTACGGGGTGTGCTTTCAAACCTAAACAACCCGGGCTTGGGGCGGGGGCACCAGGCACAGTTCTGTTGCTGCGTCTCTGAAAGGAGCCCACCAGCCAATTAAAAAGGAACCGTTGGCCACTTAAAACATAATCATTACTTCTGTGAATGCTGCTAAATTAAATAAGTGTTATCCGCATGATTTTTTTTTCCGTGACTTGGGTTTCTTTTGAAAGAAAACATTTTGTGACTTCTCGAGTTGATCTGTTTGCAACCAGCATGAGGAATCTGAAATCGTTTTTCTGGTACTTCGAAGTTCTCGTCTCCCCGAGGCTTCTCTTTCACCAGCCGAAGTCAGGGAGCAGGGAGCCACCCGGGACCACTGCCGCTGAGGGTCACTGCTGCAGGTCTGCAGATTGGCTTCGGGCGGGGGCCTGGGCAGCTGGATCTGGACGCTGGCAGCCAGTGAGAGCTATGAGCGAGCCCTCCACAGCCCCGCAGCCCTCCTGGCTGTGGGCCAGGGAGGTGAAGTTCACGTGACATAAGGAGTAACCATTTTAGAGCGAGCCATTCAGCGGCCTTGAGCACATGTGCTTTCTTGTGCAGCCATTGTGCAGCTCTATCTAGCTCCAAACCCCCTTGCCACCCAAAGACACCCGGCCCCAGCAGCCGTGCCCCTGACTCCAGCGACCTCCAGGCTGCATTCCGTCTCTGTGGACTTGCTGGTTGCGAAGGCCCCACAGACGCGGGCTCATTCAGTATCTGTCTGTGTCTGCTGTCCTGCGCTGTGCCTGGAGTGTGTCTTTATTTTTATGGGACAGATGAGGCGAGTGTTTGCAGGCTGCGGTGTGATGTTTCCACATGTGCATGGGCTGGGGACAGGCACACCAGGAGGAGGGCAGAGCCACCCCCTAGAGGAGTTCGGGGCTCCAAGTCATAGCCGGGAGTACGTTCTGGTCTTGACAGGAGGTGGCTGCAATGTACACTTCAGAATGGCTGCCAGAGGGTTTTAAACACATCCGTCGGTACCTGATGCCCCTGCCTGTGGCAGCACACAGTCCACCATGTTAGCCCATCTGCTCGGCTGCTGATGGACACTTGGGCGGCTCCTGCTGGTTGGCCACTCCCACTGGCCACTTGCTGAGTCTACGCTGGTGCTTTGGGCAGATACTGGGACAACTACTTCCTTCCGTGGGACACCGCCCCCCATCCTGCCAGGTTTCCTCCTGTCCTACGTGCCTTAGTCTACCCTCTATGCACTCCAGGGGATGCAGTCCCGAATCAACCTTCACTTGGGATGGAACTCAAAGAAAAGCCCACCCCCAAACAGGCTGGGGGCACTATTCTGTTTGTGCAGTCCTGTGACCCGCAGACCTGTGAGGCCCAGGCTCGGGACCCCAGAAAGCCAGCTCCCCACCTTCCCTGAGCTCATCAGGCACTGCGAGGGACTGCCTAGGGCCTAGCTGGCCCCAGCGGGGTGTCCAGAGAAGCCTCACATGGGGGCAGGAGGTCTGAGCAAACTGCACCGGAGCCCTACTTTCTGAGTTCTCCTGAGAACTTAGGGTTTCTGGTTCCCCATTTTCCAAGGCTGAAGATGAGAGCCACATGGTTTTGGAGTGAATATTTCTGCTCAACCTGGTGCTGCTGCACAGGGCCGCCTGGTTAAAGGATTGGTCCCCGAGGGGCTGGTGGCTTCTGGTATCCTGGGCCTGCTTGCTTGGGGTGCACAGAGGCAGGCTCTGCCAGGCAGGGGTGGTAGCTGGGCCTGTGGGTGTGTTGGTACCCTGGTCCTGCGAGGGCCCATCTCCTGAGTTTGTGTGCTGCAGACGCTGATATCGCTTTATCTCATTTAGGTGACGGAGACATTGTGAATAATATGTATGAGCCCGACCCAGACCTGCTGGCTGGCCAGAGTGCCGAGGAGGAGACTGAGGACAGCATCCTGTCCCCCATCCCCATGGGGCCACCGTCCCCGTTCCCCACCAGCGAGGACTTCACCCCCAAGGAAGGCTCGCCCTACGAGGCCCCTGTCTACATTCCCGAAGACATTCCTGTCCCGCCAGACTTTGAGCTGCGGGAGTCCTCCATCCCCGGGGCTGGCCTGGGGATCTGGGCCAAGCGGAAGATGGAAGTCGGGGAGAGGTTTGGCCCCTACGTGCTGGCGCCCCGGGCCGCACTGAAGGAAGCCGACTTCGGATGGGAGGTGAGCATGATTGATCATGGCCATTTATCTTGTGTTCGATCTATTTATAAAGCTGGGTGAGCAGCCGCTGCCTGAGGCGGGAGGCTTGGTTGGTCTCGGTCGGAGAGAGCACTCGAATGCCACATTTCCCAGGGTTATTTTATCCTGCGGCCCGCATGACGCGACTCAGAAAACATCAGCGGTCCTTGTGGACGCCCGTCGGCCCCTGTAGGCTCCTCCCGGAAATGTGTCTTTCATGAGCTCATGTCTTAAAACATCCCACGCCCCCGCTGGATCCTAGGTGCTAACATGCCACTGCGGCTGTGGCTGAGCGGGGAGATTAATCGAATGGCCCAGAAGAGGTGGTTCTGCGGTGGGTCTCCATCCTGTCCCAGGCGCCTGGGGCTGCTCACGAGACCTGAGAAGCCTGCACCCGCGCCCGGATGGCACAGATACCGCGGCCTCCTGCCCAGCCTGGAGAGGGCCCCAGGGAATGAGACCTTGCCTGCTCGATGGTGCAGGAACCCTTGGGGGTCAGGACAGGAATGGTGCGTCAGGCCAGACAGGGGCAGTGTCTCCAAAGATGGCACTGCAGCATTCAGAGGTGCCCTGCTCAGGCCACGGGCAATGCTGAGCCTGGATCTGGGATGTCTCAAGGTGGCCTCATGGGGACTAAAAGCCCCTCAAAAACGCACTTCCTCATGGGCCTGGCCTTCCCACCGGCTGTACACAGCCAAGTTTCTGTGGTATTTTTGGCAGGGACCTCAGCTGGGCAGAAAGTGGGAATGCCAATCCGGATTCCTTCTGGGGTTTCACAGCCTCCGAAGCACTGGACCCCTGGAAGTCAGGGCTGGAAAGGGCAGAGTCCAGGGAAGGACGAGGCCTGGGGACTGGCGCCGGCCCCCACAGCAGGGGCTAGAGTGAGTATGTATGGAGCAGGGGTCTTTATCTCCTGTCCCCACCTCTCAAAGCGGCTTTGGAAAAGTTTCCAAGCTGATCTGCAGAAAGAGGGCCGACTTCAGGTCTGCATGCTCCCTTCCCTCTGACTTTGCATTCACCGCCCACCTCTCCTAGATCCCTGGAGATACCAGAACCCAGCACCCAATTCCAGACTCTGGGGAGGCTCTGAAGCCCAGCACAGGAAATGGGATGTGTTGATGGACCCATCAGGGTAGCAGGAAGTGGCCATGTGCCCCGGCACTGAGGCCCAACAGGGTTCCTCACAAGGAGCTCTGCTTGAGGAGCTCCTCCTAACAAGGCTCCTCCTTGTTAGCGGGATATGTGGGGTCCCTGGTAGCATTGTGCGGCTCTTTGTCATGAGCATTTTTGCCTGAGCGTCAACCTGAGCTCCCAGCTCTTTAGAGGGCTGTGATGGTCCTGGTGGGAGGCCAGCTGGACCAGGTGGCTCATGGTAGCGGTGTGTGGACTTCACCGTAGGCCAGCACAGTGGTGTGCGCAGCTCTGCACACTGCTGGTGTGAGCGGTGGCTCCCGGCCCCTGCCGTCCACAGGCAGCCGAAGCAGTGTGTGGGGCTGAAGTCCCAGGTCACCTTGGGGCCGACTGGCTAGGGGCCAGGGAGTTAGCAGAAGCAGGAGAGGATGAGTGTAGAGTCGCAGGCCTCGGGTGGCATGTGACAGGTTGTGTCATGGCCTACGTGCCATCCTTAGGGCCGGAGGGGAGTGTTCTTAAGTTTTAAGGCACATGAGAGTTTGGGGCTGTGCGCTGGGTTGGCTCCCACAGGAGCGGCTGTCTCAGCCCTCCCTGCCTGAGCAGGAGAGGGTTTAAGGGTGTTTGTTTGAGGTACTTAAAAAGGTCAGTACTATTTAATTAGTAGGTGGCTCTTAGATGCTGGAGGGTAAGTGAGCCCGGCAGGTAGTACTGTGGGTGACCTTGAGGTGACTTTGTTCTTGTCTGCTCTGATACAAGTTTCTGTTTGCTTTTACTTTCTAGTTTTTTTTAATTTTAAAGAAACGGCCCATATCGCCACGGCTCCCACGGTGCCAGGCCTGGTACGGGCCGTCGCTATCACCTGCCTGTGCCTGTTGACTCTGCAGCGCTGTTTATTCTCCAAGTACGTGAGGGCGCGTCCCCTCCTCCGGGCACTGCCTCCCTCTGCGGAGCGCTTTGTCCCGTGGTTGTGACCCGACAGCGTCCTTTCATGCCTGCGCTCAGAAATGTGCCCTCCACTCCATGTCCTCAAACAGTGTTGCAGACGCTCCCACCACGGTCGCGCCTGACCGTGTTTTCTTTTCCAGTTCAGGCCCCCATTACCCTGCTTTGCAATGGCCCCTGGGCTTTTTTCCTGCATCAAACAGTCCAGACAGTCGTGTCGCGTTGTGTTGTGTCGTGCTGGCAGCGGAGGGCGGGACTGACAGGAGGAGGTAGCTGCTGAGGGGTTGGGCCCAGCCACCTTCACCAGGGTTAGCGACAAGGTGGCGTTGGGCTTGATAGCTGGAGTTCCCTGGCAGGGAAGCCATCGCTGGGCAGGCTGAGTGGAATTTTCCATGTGCGTCCTGCAAAGTTGGGTGCTGTTTTGCTGTGTTTGTTGGCCTTCTTGGGAGAGACACCCAGTGGCAGCTGTCCCCTCCCTGGAGTCTCCCTTGACTTCCTCGGGATGTGCCTTATCTCCTGATCGTAGCAAAGCAGGGTGAGATCAGGATGGAAACCTGGGCCCAGTGTGCTTGGTGGCCAGCGGCAGAGGGCCTCCTGGAACTGGCACCACAGGCGGCCCTGCCCACCCACCAGCTTGCCTGGGTTCTGCAGGGAAGCGGGTAGCAGAAGCCACGCATGAGAGCCACTGGAGGGCAAGCTCCGAGCTCGTCTTGGAGCCAGGCCTGTCCCGGGCAGGCGTGGACACAGTCCCACCATGGTCCCGAACTTGACTCCTACTTGTTCTCTCTTTGCACTGGTAATCAAATTTTAAGAATCCGAGCAACAGAATTTTACTATCATTAACACAGAGTCTGTTGCCTGTAAAGAACAAGTAATGACACCTTTGCAAAGATGAGGAGAGGTCAAGGGGACCCGGCCTTTTTTCTGAGTCAGGGCCCTGGCGTCCAGGCCAGGCTGCGCTCAGGATCCAGCTGCCCAAGGGTCTGGGAGCCCTGTCCTCAGAGAGACAACTGAGGGCCATGGACCCTTGGCGACCCAGGGGAAAGAAAGGTCACACTGATTATTCCGACTGACCTTGGAACAGGAGGGAAATAATGTTCTGGCTATTCTGGGAACGAAGTTTTTGCCTGCACCGTTAGGTGGACATCAGATGAAAATGTCTATAATTTTTTTCTTTTTGTAACTTGAGGCACTGGGCACAGCCAACATGAGGTTTGGTGGTGACTTGGGCCCCGGAAAATACCTCTCTTTCCCTGTGGGTTGACACGGATAACAGCACGGTTCAAGGCACCCAGGATCGAGGCGTCCAGGGGTGGGGACCCTCTGCTCTCCTCCTGAGGAGCAGGGGTCTGGGTGCAGGACTTTCTAGCTGACGCAGAGGCTGCCTCACTCCTGCAGGACAGGACTCTTTCATTTCAGGAGGAAAAATGTCCCGCGTGAGACGCCCACCCTAGATGGTGAGTGCGGGCACAGTGCCTGGAGGTGCCCCTGGGTGTGGCCGTCAGGAGGCCCGCATTTGGACGCTCAGGCTTGGCACCTTCCCCAGACGTTGCACCTTGCCTGCCCACCCCACAGCCTGGATATCACCCTGTGAATGCATTTTATTGCCCTGAGGTCTGCGAAAACAGTGGTTTTGATCATGAGTTCAGCAAATCAGGACGTTTATCATGGCATTATTTATTTGCTAATGAAGGAAAGGCTGCAGAGATGGGGACGGCTTGGGGGCCACCTGCCCCGAAGGTCTGCAGCTCTGTGGGAGGCCCAGGGAGAACACAGATTCCACCGACGCCGGGCACCATCTCCTCCCAGTCCTGCCAGATTCTTGGTGTGGTGTACCCCAAAAGTTAGCCTTGGGGCGCCCCCAGTGCCTGGCTTGGAACCCGCCAGCATGACTGGCATTCAAGCCTTGTTGCGGCACTCAAGCGTTGCCTGTTTTAGAAGCTGTTGTAAAAAGTTACCGAGGCCTGATGGGGTTGCAGTGATCTGGGGAATGTACTCAAGTGCACCGGCACATCCCCTGGCATGACTGGCTGAATGTTAATAGGTGTGTTCATCTGTTCAGTCAACAAATGGACCAGGCATGGGCCAGGGCCCTCAGGGAGCTCCATGGTCACTGGGGGAAAATCCTGGAGGTCTGGGGCTGCCTCACTGTCTGTGTGCAACCATCCCTGGGCACATGGAGGGTATTGGCAAGGGTCATGAGCTGCCAGTGACCCCCAGGTGTGTTGAGAGGCCCTGAAGGGCAGGAGGAAGAGCTTCTGCAGGGGTATGAATGCATTATCCTCACGCCTCGCAGAGTGGCTTGGCTGGGGAGGAGGCAGAGCGGGCACACGCGTCCACCTCACACACGTTCCTGCATGTGTCTGGACATCTGTGCTGGCCCAGTGCTGCAGTCTGAGAAGGTGGGGCCCAGCTGGTGTGTGGCTTCCAGATGTAGGGTGCCCTGCCAGAGGCCAGGCCTCCAGTGGGATGTTAAAGGCAGCAAGGCAAGCACAAACTGCAGCCCAGAGAACCAGCTGCACTGTACCCCAAGAACGCGCCAGAGAGGCCCGAGGGCCAGGGCAGTGAGCAGACTGCAGAGTTGCCCAAAAGTTTACACAGCACCACCAGCCAGTAGATTGGGCGCAGGCTGGGTTGAAGCCGCAGCCTCAGGATCTCCGTGGGCCTTGGGGCCTCGGTCCCCTCCTGTCTGGCTGTCACGTCTCTCACCATCACCTCAGCCCTCCCTGCATGCAGGACTTGCCGCCTGCAGACACTTGGCAGATGCGTTGAGCGGCTGTGTGTCTGCTCTCACGTGCATCCTCCCTTTCACTTTTGCAGGAAATCCTGGCCCGGTACCTGTGTCTCTGCCCTGCCTGGGCATGGTGGCTCTGGAGAGCTGGCTCAGTGTATGATGTGTAGGGGGCTCA